ATTATAACACCTGTGGAAACCTCACAATGGGCAACTCCACTGGTGCCAATCCTGAAGGAAGATGGCAATTTGAGGCTATGTGGGGACTATTCAGTGACCGTTAACAGGCATTTGAAGAAATCTACATATCCTTTGCCCAGGATTGACGAGATTTTCGCCAAATTGCATAGAGGTAAAACATTTTCAAAGTTAGACTTGGCCTCAGCTTATAATCAATTTGTTTTGGATGAAAAATCAAGTAAAATAGCAACTATTTCAACACCTAAGGGACTTTTTCGTATGAATAGATTGCCTTTTGGTTTAACCGTATCAAGTTTCATTTTTCAAAAGCACATTGAAAATGTATTTAAGGGGATGGAGAATTTTTCGTGCTTTCTAGATGACATTCTGGTCACGGGAACATCAGAAAAAGAGCATATAGATACTTTGAGGGCAGTTTGCCAGAGATTAAAAGAGGCTGGGTTGACTTTGAAGATAAATAAATGTGAATTTTTCAAAGAATCAGTATCGTATCTAGGTTTTGAGATTTCCTCAAAGGGTTTAATGAAGTCCGAGGACAAAACTAGAGCTATTAGGGAAGCCCCAGGACCTAAAAATGTAAAAGAAGTTAGAATATTCTTGGGAATAGTCAACTATTATAGCAAGTTCATACCTAATGCATCTAGAATTTTGCATCCAATTTATAACTTGTTGAGAGAGAATGTGAAATTTGATTGGAATAAAAACTGTATGAATGCATTTGCTGAAATTAAAAATATTATCAGTTCGGATTTGATTCTGATCCATTTTGACCCCAACCTGCCTTTGATACTTACTACAGATGCAAGCCAAACTGGTGTAGCGGCAGTGCTATCACATAGATTGAAAAATGGGGATGAACGACCAATATGTTTTGCGTCCAGAACGTTGGCAGATGCCGAAAAGAGATATCCGACTTGCCATCTGGAAGCGTTGGCAATCTACTGGGCAACCAGCAAATGGTATCAGTACCTGTATGGTAACAAATTTATATTGAGGTCAGATCATAGGCCTTTATTAAGCATATATGGTGAACAAAAGGGCATTCCACAAATGTATGCATCTAGACTCCAGAGATGGGCAGCATATTTGTCTACGTTCCAATACACTATAGAGTATATTAAAGGGTCTAATAATAAAATTTGCGATTTTCTATCTCGTTTTCCTATAAAGTTTGATTCTAGCAATGCCAAGTTTCCAGAAAGAGGAGAATATCTCCATTTTACAACCAAAGGGGACGATTGGCCAGTGAACAACGAGGAAATAAGAAAGGAAACGAAGAAAGACATGAAATTGACCCAAATTGTGAGGTGCGTAGAGACTCAAAAATGGCCAGATAGGATCAGTGACGAAATCAGGCCATTCTATAGCCGAAGAGGTGAGCTGCACGTTGAAAATGATATACTTATGTGGGGGTACCGCATTGTTGTTCCTGCAAAATTACAGCATAAAATTTTATCGGAGTTACATGAAGGCCATTTTGGCATTGTGAAAACAAAAAGCCTTGCCAGATCGTACTTATATTGGCCAAACATAGATAAAGATGTAGAAAGAAAATGTAGTTCATGTATTTTATGTTTGCAGAACAAACAGGGACCACCAAAGAAGGAGTTAACGCCATGGGCAGCTGAAAATGCTCCTTGGAAAAGAGTCCATATGGATTTTTGTGGACCAATCAAAGGAAAGATGTTCCTGATCGCAATTGATGCGTATTCAAAGTGGTTGGAAGTGCTAGTAATGGAAACTATGACAGCAGCAGAGACAGAAGAAAAGATCAAGATGCTTTGCGCCAATTGGGGACTACCAAACGCAGTAGTTACAGATAATGGAGCGCAATTTACAGCGAGTAATGTACAACATTTCTTCAACAGAAACGCAAGACATGTAACATCACCCCCGTACAACCCCCAATCCAATGGTTTTGCGGAGAATGCAGTCAAAATTTTCAAAACAGGTTTAAAAACAAGATTGAGCGACCCAAAAAAGAAAAACGTGAGTATTTCGATGTTAATCTCTGAATTTTTGTTATCTTATAGAACCTCAAAACACTCGAGCACCGGAGAAACCCCAGCCAAGCTCATGACAAATAGAGAGATAAGGACAAGGTTGGATGTTTTGAGGGAAAGTAAAGGAGAAAATACTCGAGAACAAAGTTCTCAAAGACAACCGCTGCAAAAACAAGTAGAGGCACAAGAGAGACAAATAAGAAACTTTGGGGGACCAAGAAATTTCGAAGTAGGAGAAAAAGTAATGGTAGCAGACTTCAGAACGCTCAACCAAAGAAAGTGGACGCCAGCTTGTATAATAAGAAAGATGGGAAGATCTACTTACATGTGTAGAATCACAGAGGGCAATGTATGGAAAAGGCATACAAATCAGATCCACAGGCGTAGCCAAAACGATCAAGAGCCAATTGAGATCCAGAAGGAAAAAGACCAGGAATTAGAGCCAGCAAAATGTATGACCAGATATGCAGGAAGATCAGCTGAAGAAACTAAGGCATCAAACTTGGAGGAAATCGTGGAAGTGGAAGAAGGACAGGGGACAAAGACACCAGAAAGAGCACAAGCACAAGCCCACATGGAACCAACGACCGAGCCCAGTCAGTCCGTCATTCAGGAATCTATTGACGTTTATGATAAGTCTTTAAAACAATATTTTGCTCAAGTTATTGATATTCATAATAATGAAAGGTCAAATTTAGATTCTAATATTAACTCTTCTTCTAGTTATTCACAACATGTACGACCCAGTAGTCCTCCCAGGGCGAAAGCTACAGACAAAGGGAAAAACACCCTGCAGCAAAAGACGAGTGAGCGTAGCGAGCAGAAAATTAGGGAAAAGGGGAAGGATGTCCCGAGTAAAGTAGTTAGAACGAGCACCAGACAAGTAACCAAACCTACAAGGCTCAAAGATTACATAATAGATGAAATTGATTGATTTATTTGTTTATAATATTTATCTAGGTTTTAGAATTTTGTGTTGTTGCTGAACTGTTGATTTTTAATAATATTGACTTGAAAGTAATATTTTTCTGCGAGCTCCACTCAAGATCTAAGCGATTGTTAATTAAGTTAGCATAGATTATTTATTTGTTGTCTGTGATTTATATTGGCAGAAAAGTGTTACCGAGAGCTAGATTTGTAGTCGAAAAATTATTCATTCCATTTTCTCGCTCTTAGGGTAGTTCAAGAAGTAAGGGTGAGGGTGTGACATATCTAGGAAGTTGCGCACAACAGCGCAACACTGCAGACAAAAAGATTACGTGGGAAGCAACACCACCAAGGAATGAGGGTCGGTTTTGGGCCCCTACTAGGGCTCGGAATTGTATTCGAATAATTCGAATATTCGACTATTCGACTATTCTAAATTCGACTTTTTTGTTAGTTAGCAAATTCGACTATTCGAATATTCGAATGTTCGACTATTCGAATATTCAACTATTCGAATGCTCGACTATTCAAATATTCGAATATTCGACTATTCGAATATTCGACTATTCGAATATTCGACTATTTGAATATTGTACTATTTAACAATGCAATTACTCAATTTTTGATTTGAATATATAGGTATTCAATTTAAAATTTCATTTGTTTCAATATTTGAATTTGAATGATACAATATTCGACGTATTTTGGGCGTAAATCAGCTTTCAATAAATACAATGCATTTTTGTTCGTAATGTAAATTTGAACCTCTGTAAATTTGCCATTTAAAAAACATCTAAATTATTTTAAGTTCATTTCACCAAACGAGATAGTGACAGTAAACAAACTTTGACAGGTAAGTCGAATTTTATTGGCTAGAAAAGGATTATACTCCGCCCAATGCAGGACCGTTCTAGGTTGTTTTGTATTTCTTTTCGCTGAATATATTTCTGAACGAATTCTTGAGCGGAATTTGTTGAAATTGATATTGTTTTAATCTAAATTGCTCACTAATTAACAATAATTCACCAAACACTATTTAAATAATTGTAAAATACTAGGAAATACGACATTAAACTTATTGACTCATATGACAACCTGACAATAGTAAATGTCATTAGTTGTAATTCATATTTTTGCAGTCCTCTGAATTTTTAAGCTCCGCCTGTTTGTTTACCTCTACTATCTCGTTTGGTGGAATGAACTTTAGTTTTTCTGACTCTGCATAAAAAATCAAAGATTCGCTTCGTCGTAGATCGTTCTTTTGCGGGAAGTACATATAAACTTTTATCAAGAATGATTGTTAGTCGAAAAAACGTCATTTTTAAAGTCCTATTTTGTTCTCTTAATTAGGCCCTCTATCAATATTTGACTATTGGAATATTAGACTATTCGAATATTCGACTTTTTGACTACATATTCGAATATTCGACGATTCGAATATTCGACTTTTCGAATATTCGACTATTCGACTATTCGCATATTCGAATATTCGACTATTCGAATAGCTAGGTATTCGAATATTCGACTATTCGAATATTCGACTATTCGAATTATTCAGCTATTCGAATAAAATACCAAACGACTATTCGAATAGTTGAATTTTAAAAATTCCGAGCCCTAGCCCCTACACGCTATGCGTACACGAAAGAGTCGAAATACCACCTACCACTGAAAAGCTCCCGCTCGCGAAACTCAGCTCTAATGAAACTAATTTTACTATTAACTAAGTTCTTAATGTAACAATAAATATAGTTAAACAAAAGTAACGCGGCTAATCATTGAACCACTCGAAACACTTCATTAACTATTTTCACTGCGTACGCGTGTGGCTAAATTCAAAATTCACCAAAATGTTGATCACCACGAACCACAGTGCCTACACGAGTATTTAGCCAATTGATTCAATTGATTTTAGCCACACTGCACACGCCCATGCGGCGCCGGTCATACTCATGACTCATGACTCATGAGTCATGAGGGAGGCTGCTATCGAAAAGATTATATCGATATATCGAAATAATCGCTAAAAATATATCGATATAATGGAGTTGTATATCGATATATCGTTGCCATTCCTTTTGTGCACTAAGCTAAGAAAAGTGTGGTTAAGTTACTGGCGATTCCAAAATTTGTTTGTTTGGATTTCTTTTTCAGGAGGTGGTTGTTTCATTTTTCTGTGTTGTGCCGTGCTTGCATATTTGTGTTTGTCGAATAAAAGCTTTGTTAATTTCAATTATGAAAAAGTCAACTTATTCTATTTGTGGATTTTTGTGTTTGAGTCTGCTTATAAGTAGAGGTAAGGTAATAAAAAAGTAAACAATACAATATAATCAATGGGCGTGGTAGCAATGATATACCTAAACATGTTTTTGATTTTTAAATTACAAGTAACCATCCATCAGTGGGAACTTTTAATCTAGCTCGGTATCTAGATTCATAATATACCTACTCTATTGCATTTACATGCAATTTAAATTAAGATCAATATTAAAATTAGATTGTAGATTCTTTGATAATATTTCTGAATAGTCAGTGCGAAAGTCTCACAAATAATAATTGTATAGCATACCTACCTATACAAAAAGTTAAAGTGCATGCTATTGGTACTGATGTATTTTGGATTTTATTTCTTTCAATATAGAAATAAATACCTACTGAATGTATATAGCAATGACTAACATTTTGTGACACTGTAATTGTATTGTATACTCCTAATGAGAAATTTTAGGCTCCTTTGCAAAAATGACTGTTCTGCTAGCTTTAAGTTAAACCAGCAGAACATGAGCGAAAAGTGGCTAAAACAATGAAAACTGCAATTCCACTTGCACAAACTTTAAAGGCTCTGAAAATACACCAATCCCAAATTTCAGGCTCAATTACTTTTTTTTGTGAAAATGCAAAAAGCGCGATGCATTAGTGTTGTCGGCCAAGCATGGCAGAAAAACCCCTCAGACAATGAAAATCTGCGTTCCAATAGTGCAGTTGTAGACATTGTAGTGAATACATTGAAGGCTAATTAAATGCTGTAATGAAAAAATTTGAGGCTTCGCCAATTTTTGCGAAAATGGCTATTCTGCTGGCTTCAACCTAAGCCAGCAGAACATGAGCGAAAAAGTGACCAAAACAACAAAATTCGCAATTCCACTTGCACAAACATTAAAAGCTCATTAAAGGCTCCAGAAATGCACCAATCGCAAATTTCAGGCTCAGTACATTTTTGATTTAGTGAGTTTGGAAAAGTCTGATAATAATTGCGAAGTACCCAAACTAACCCAGGTTATTATCCGTAAGTTTGGAAATGTCTGAAATTCGCGATTAGTGTATTTCCGGAGCCTTTAATGAGCCTTGAATGTCTGTGCAAGTGGAATTGCAATTTCTGTCGTTTAGCCACTTTTTTGCTCAGGCTTTGCAGCCTTAAATTAGAGCTAGCAGAATAGCCATTTTTGCGAAAATTGGCAGAGCCTAAAATTTCTCATTAGAGTATTTAATTAGCCTTTGATTTATTCACAACGACTGCACTATCGGAACACTGATTTTCACTGTCTGACAGGTTTTTCCGCCATGCTCGGCCAACATTACTCACATATTGCGACTTTTCGCATTTTTACAAAAAAGTAATTGAGCCTGAAATTCGCGATTGGTGTATTTCCAGAGCCTTTAATAAGCCTTTAATGTCGGTGCAAGTGGAATTGAAATTTTCGTTTTTTTTTAGCCACTTTTTCGCCCATGTTCTGCTGGCTTAGGTTAAAGCTATGAATAGCCATTTTGGCGAAAATTGGCGGAGCCTCAAATTTCTCATTACAGCATTTAATTAGCCTTTAATGTATTCACTGAGACTGCACTATTGGAACACAGATTTTCACCGTCTGAGGGGTTTTTCTGCCATGCTTGGCCGACATCACTCACATCGCGCTTTTTGCATTTTCACAAAAAAAAAGTAAATGAGCCTGAAATTTGGGATTGGTGTATTTTCAGAGCCTTTAATGAGCCTTTAATGTTTGTGCAAGTGGAATTGCAGTTTTCGTTGTTTCAGCCACTTTTCGCTCATGTTCTGCTGGCTTAAGTTAAAGCTAGCAGAACAGTAATTTTCGCGGAAACTCAAGGAGCCTAAAATTTCTCATTAGGGCATTTAATTAGCCTTTAATGAGCCTTTAATGTTCCATGTGAGGGTTGAATAGCTGACCCAAAATTTGTACACTGACTGCCAAATTCCACAATCTTTAAGGAAATTTTCCAAGATTGTGAGTGATTGTGTAAGATTGTGAGTAATTGTGTACGATTGTGACTGATTGTGTAAGGATTGTGAATGATTGTGACTGATTGTGTAAGGATTGTGAATGATTGCGAGTGATTGTGCCTGTTTGTGTCACAATTGTGAGCGATTGTGAGTGATTGTGAAAGGATTGTGAATGATTGTGATCACTATGTATGATAATTGGGTTAGAATAAAACAACAAAATATCAAAACTAAATTTTTCTCTGTAATTTTGAAAGGTTTTTTAGAAAATGTTGCATTTTGGGACGCCCCTTGTATCTTTCTTAAGTGTTCCAAAAGGTGACAACAGGTTCTTATAGATCTTTCTATGGAGATTCCAATGGCGAAGTCAATTTTTCTCTAGAAGTGATAGTTTTTAAATAACAATGTGTTTGAAAAGGTCTTTATATCTGTAAGGAAAATGAGAAAGGTCTCTTTCTAACGCATTGTTTCTGTTTCTTATGACAAAAACAAAACAATTTTGCTCGGAAACTGTTAGAGATAAACCTATCGAACTTTATATCATTGAAATCAGCAAAAGCAGAGCTATCCAATGAGTTAATAATATACAGGGTGTCTTATTTGAAAAAACGTATGTTTGGTTCATAATTTAAAAACTGTCACTTCTCGTGTCACTTCTAGAGAAAAACTAGACTACCCCACTGGAATCTACGTAAAAAGATCTATAAGAATCCGTTATCACCTGATCACTTGTCAGAGAACTGACATACAAAGGGCTGTCCCAAAACGCAACATTTTCAAAAACACCATGTATCTTGAAAACAAAAAGGGCGATAACAATAGGGTACTTGCATGAAAAATTAAATTGATTATTGTTTATTGCAAACTGTACGAAATCGAAAAAAAATCGATGCGTGTTTTTTTATTTTGGCCAAATATGGTTATTTCGGAAGTTATACAAATATTGAGTTTTGTATATATAGATATACTGAGCATGTGCGACGTCGCAACTCACAACGTATTATACATAAGTTATGACGTCGGAAGGACATTTCAAAGCGTTGTATCTCCGTCAATTTTTGACTAACAAGAAAAAGAAAAAACACGTGTTGACTTTATTTTTCATGGACAATTGGAGTCAGCAATAAAAAAAAAAATGATGCAAGGAGCCTATTCTGTCGGTGGCATCTTTTGGCTGGCAAAAAAGTGACCACCATTCGGGAAAACCGCATCCTCCTAACTCTAATAGCAACCGAGTTACCTATCCCTTATGTACAACCAAAATGGAACACCCTGTACAGGGTGGCGCAGAGGAGGATGACAAATAAAAAATAATTTGGTGTGAGGTAGATACTTGGCTTCAAATTAGGATTTCAGGTACTTGAAAATGTTAATTTTTTGTGACTTGATAGTGTAAATCAGTGGTTCCCAAACTTTTTTAACCTACCGCCCACTTTTAGAAAATGGGAATTACCCAGCGCCGCCCTTGGTAGGGATCCAAGATATTCAAGCGGCACCTTTTTTTTTTGAAAATTTTCATGGTCGTGCGTTTTCTTGGCAAGGGGCTGAGCGTCAAGTTACCTCCTCAGTAGGATTTTGTCAGGAAATGACCGAATATGGAAATTTTAAGAAACCTGATACAGCGCACTTCAGATTGCATAAGAGTTCATTTTTGTTTCATCTTATTTCCAAAATTTTGGGGGCTGCGCGTTACGTTAGCTCCCCCAATAGGATTTTGCCTGAAAATTACTGAATATGGAAATTTCGAGAAAAACTTAATACAGTACAGTCCAGCACACTTCAGTTTGCACGAGAATCCATTTTTGTTTCATCTGATTTCCAAAATTTGGGGGGGCTGAGCGTCAAGTTAGCACCCCCAGAAGGATTTTGTCGGAAAATGACCGAATATGAAAATTTTGAGGAAAACCTGATACAGCTGAAAGCACACTTCCGATTGCATAAGAATTCATTTTTGTTGATTGGATTTCCAAAATTTTGGGGGGGCTGAGCGTCCTGAAGTTAGCCCCCTCATCTTATTTTCCCTATAACTTTGGTATCAGAACAGCACAGTTCAAAGTGGTTGCAATTTTGTTAGAAAATTTGAATGTGGGGGCTAACTTGACGGAGCTAATGTTTGAGCTTTTTGAAGTTATTTATAAGTAAAATACAATAACTTTAATGCAGCTGCTGCTGATCAATGCGTGTATTAGCGGTATCGCATTTTAAGCAAGTCATAGCAGACTTAGTTGAGGTGCGTGCAGGTTGCGTTCATAACTTGAAGCTTGCCAAAATTGACTCTGAAAGAGATAGACATAGACTGACGATGAGCCTCATCTTTATAGTATTGAAGAGTAATTTCCGTAAAAAGCCATTTACTATTTAATTTTTTTTTTTTTTCTGATCTGTTCGTTTATTTTCCACCGCCCACTAGTTTGTGCTTACCGCCCCCCAAAATCAGCTGAGCTCTTTACCGCCCCCCGAGATGGTTGTAGCGCCAACTGGGGGGCGTTATCGCCCTCTTTGGGAACCACTGGTGTAAATGGATAGTTTTTAAAATGGATTGTACCAAATACAGATATTTTTTTTCTACAACGTCCAGGTCTGGATTTTCAGGCCATCTCAAGACTTCTAAAATAGTTATATGTCATTCTACTTTTGTCAATTTTCCAATTTGGTATTTGTTAGAGAAGGCAACTGCATAATACTTTTCTACGTCAAGCTCTTTTTCAAGCTGCTGTTCTGGATCATTGAAATATTTCTCTCCACTTTCTAATTCATGAAGGCTAATTAATGAATCGGTTGATTCTGATCGAGATTCTGATGTTTCATCATCAACCATCAATTAGTTTACATTTTGTACTTTTTGTATATTAGCTTTTTTGCAGTTTTAGTATTTTTGAAGTTTCTTTCTTGTAACAGGCCAAAATTGCATAAATGATTCTTACCTACTTTCAATTTTATATTCAAGATTTCCTTAAATTTGTCAACATTTTCTCTATAAAATTTCATCAATAATCTCAACGGTTGTAGATCCTGTAAATTTTCTAATTTTCCATAGTCAAATTCTATTTGCTGTAATG